AAACAAAAAAATCACTTTCCCCGGAAACCTTGGTGTGTGTAAGAAGACTCAAAGACTGTTAATCTGTGCAAACTCCTACAAGGTGTTTAGATGCAACGTAATGCACCCTGTGAATTTAAGGCCTTCCTATAATATAGATCCAATTTGCAGCTGTGTGGCAGATGATGACTTTGGGAGGACTTTTGGTTATCTATAGTGTCAGATATCATCAAAAGTATGCATGGACCTTTCTTTGTTAATCAGCTCTCATTAGTGTCTACGTATTTGATGTGCGGCCTAAGATAATTTTTTTTCTTTAAGACAGTCTCACTCTGTTACCCTGGGTAGAGTGCTGTGGCATCACAGCTCACAGCAACCTCCAACTCCTAGGCTCAAGAAAAAACAATTTTAGCCAGGTGAGGTGGTTCATGCCTGTAATCCTACCACTCTGGGAGGCTGAGATGGGTGGAATGTTTGAACCCAGAAGTTCAAAGACCGGGCCCAAGCAATAGTGAGATTCTATCTACTAAAAATAGAAAAGCTGGGCAGTGCCTGTGGCTCAGTGAGTAGGGCGCCGCCCTGGCTGTGTTTGAACCAGGCCCTGGCCAAACTGCAACAAAAAAATAGCTAAGCGTTGCGGCAGGTGCCTGTAGTCCCAGCTACTCGGGAGGCTGAGGCAAGAGAATCACCTAAGCCCAAGAACTGAAGGTTGCTATGACGCCACAGCACTCTACCAGGGGTGACAAAGTGAGGCTCTGTCTTTAAAAAAAAGGAAAAAAAAGGAAAATGCCTATAGATGCCTATAGTCCTAGCAGATGCCTATAGTCCTAGCTACTCAGGAGGTTGAAGCAAGAGGATTGCTTAAGCCTCAGAGTTTGAGGTTGCTGTGAGCTATGGCTTCATGGCACTCTACCCAGGGTGATATAGTGAGACTGTCTCAAAGAAAAGCCCAATTTAGATGCTATATTATACCATTAGCTAACTGAGCATACTCCCTTACTTCCTATTCATTTGTAAATATCTTTTTTTTTTTTTTTT